ATAGCTGCGACGTATACGGAGATCTGTCCTTTATCTTTAATCTATACAGCAATAATAATAATTTTACAGTAGTTTGCAGCTAATCGCCATTTTGTGAATAACTTTCAACTTCAATTGGTATTTTTCGGCAAAATTTGATTTGTCTCAAAATAGTAGTATGAATTAGCATAAAAGCCTGGTTTCCATTAAATCGTATTCATCGCAATCTGAGTCGCGGAACGCAGACATCGCTTCGCAAAAATCGCAGTAAGTCTATGTTTGCGTGACTCAAGTTTCCAATAAATCGCAGTTTTTATTAAAAAATTCGCGTTTTTAAAGTCGTTGCGACGCTTGCGATGCGGTTCTTGCAATAATTACGATTTAATGGAAACCAAGCTTAATCAAAACTAAACTAATAAGCTTCTATGTCTATATAAACGGCACTTCTTTGCGTTAATTTTCTGTCAAACAAAACAGGTGTGGAAATTACAAAGGACCACTGTCATTGATATTATTTAAGAAGTAAGTTTAAAAAATACTCCAATAATTATTTTTAACAATGGTGCATTGAAGAACAAAAACAACTTGTATACATACATTGCGTCTGCTGTTATTTTCTTTTATTATTTTCTGAATTTTCGTGTTTTTTTATTATTATTTTATATTAGAGAAACTTAAAAATTGGCTACAAAGTAAAACCCTCGGCATACACACTACAGTAACATAATTTACTAACCTCGAAATTTTTTCGACAACACCCGAACGTTTGATTAAAGATTAAATTTGCGAGATTATATTGTTTGTTGAAGAACACGCGAAAAATAACTATCCAGGTAGCAAGTTAACTGTAAAGTTAACTAGAAAGTTTAGTATATTGTTGCTTTCGTAATAATATAGCGTGTATTCTATTTCTATTTATGGCACAGTCATCAGTATACATATTAAACAACAATAATATATTGTACATATATATAGTTATGTTGGCGTGCAACTATTTAGTAATTTTAATCAAGTTTAAAACGATCAATTGGAAAGGCTTTCCGAAAGCTTAAAAAATTACAAGGCGGTGTTTGTATTCAAATATATAAGAACTTATAAACACTATTTTATATTTATAATTATAATAATCGCTGATATGAAAGCTCCGCGAGTAACACTGAACGTGTTTCCGGTTATCACAAATGTAAACAATAGAGCTATTTATAGCCATAATTTATGAATTTTGTACTCCTTCATATTCCTTTTGCCGACAAGTTTTATTGCGAATAACTTAACTTTAAGTATTCTACTTTAACCCTAAAAGTGTTTTAGACACCAAGTAGGTTGCACTTTTGAGAATTTTTAGTTTGAATTTTGTACCTAATCATTAGTTGTTCGGCGAACGAAAATACCGATTTCCTTTGATGGAGACTAGTAGGCTTAAAATAAGATGTACATTCAAATTCTTTCATCATTCTAAAAGAAGAAGAATATCTCTCAAGACGCTGAAAAAAGTTTTTAATATGACGCGAAAGTTTCCGAGTTATGATGCATAATTTAACAGACATTTGACCGCCGTTTTCGTGGTCAAATTTCAGTGTCGCTGACGTCCAGACAAAAATTCGTCATAACTAAAAAAAAAAGAAAAATTTAGAAATTATAATATTAGTTTAATACCTTTTAGGACAAAGGTAGTTCATGGTAGAAATATAAAGGAAATCTAATTTTCAACCTGAAACGCTCTGCATGGTTCTTAGTGAGACAGCCACTTAAGCTTTTCTATGAGAATAACATGGTCTACACAGTCAAAAGCCTTAGCAAAATCCAAGTATAAAATGTCTGAGTGTTTTGGTCAAGTGATTTTCCAATGGAGTGGAGAACAGACAGAAGCTGTGTTACACATGATCGATTACGCATAAAACCGTGCTGAAGAGAAGTAATTAGATGTGAGACATGGGAATAGAACCTGTTACAGACGCACCGTTCCATCACCTTGCTTACTATCGGCAATAAAGAGATAGGTCTGTAATTTTCAGCAGGTTCTTTATTATCCTTCTTATGGACTGGTGTTACATCGGCATTTTTCCATTCTGCAGGGAAACGCCCAATGCGTAGAGAGTGATTGAACAAAGTACAAAGACTTGGTGCGATTTCCGTGCTACATTCCTTCAGGATGCGTGCGGGCATCCCGTCAGGACTGGTGGCTTTAGATGTGTCTAAACTAGACAAACAAGCTGACACTTCTTCCACTGTTAGCTCTACATCAGAGATTTCTATATCCGATCTTATGGGGGAAGACGGCAAATTGGACACTGCGCTGGGTGAAGTAAAAACAGAGAAAAAGTACGTGTTAAATAGTTCAGCTTTCTCTGCTGGTGTCTTGGCTGTTATTTCATTACTCGTAATAATAGAGACAACCCCTGAGCGATGATGTAATACTGCTTTATGATAGTTCCAAAATAATTTTGGATTTTCACTGAAGGAACCTTGGATTTTGTGAAGGTACTCACGATGTTTACGTCAAACAAGGATTTTCATGTAAATACTTAGAAATCTTAGGGTTTTTTTACGTTCTTCGGATCTAGTTTTGCGATAATTTTTGAGAGCTCGATACTTTTGCGCATTAGGTGCCTGATTTCTCCATCAATCCAGGGAAGAGAGTTTGTATCTTTAATGACTTTAACAGGAACGCATTTTTCTACTGCAGCTAGAAATAAATCCTTCCACCGAGACCAGGGAATATTAATATTGTCAGAAAGGGGTATATCTAGTGTAGCATTCTGTTAAAGTCTATGAAGATCTTGAAAATCTGCTCTCTTGTAATTGTAAGCTTTGCGCTGCACACGTCTTGCTCGTTTAAACTTCAGCCGCATGGAAAAATTCACTAGGTAATGATCAGAGGGGAATGTGCTTTCCTCCGGGTTGAGAGCGGAAACATGCTCAATCATTTCAGGTCAGTTTGATAGTAGCAAATCGAGTTTGTTTCCTGCTATGTGAGTAGGCCCTTTAGTAAACTGTTGGAGAAAATTTTCTTTCATAAGGATGCAGAATTCATTGTTCTCCGTTGATCCCCCGTTGTGTTCAAGAGAAGATTCATCAGGTGACTAGTTGAGGGTTGGAAGGTTAAAATCGCCAACTACGACCACAGAAGCTGATTCAGAATTCTCTTATAAAGATGAATTGAGTTGATGCAGTTCATCTTGTCGAGGTTCTGGAAGATATACTGTGTAGAGAATAACTGATTTATTGTAATCCTTAACGAGTTCAACAACAGCGAATTCGATATTGTCTCTCTCGAGGTCTTTTCGATGACTGGACCGGATGTCAGACTTAACAGCAATTAGGACACCTCCACCAGTTCTGCCAGGTCGATCTTTCCGATAAATGTTGTAGCCCGTAAGGATTTCTGCCGACATAACTGAGTCGTTCAGCCATGTTTCACATATAGAGACAACATCATAGTCATTACTATAAACCAACTCCTGTAG